CATTAACTAGCAAGGCTTACATGGTATTTAATAGAAGAACTTTAAATATAGAAGAATCTATACATGTCACTTTTGATGAAATTTTAGACCTTGGGGGAAATACTCTTGAGTCAAATAAAGAAATTGCAGGTGATGATGAGTATATAAGAGAAGCTCTTGATGAATTATATTTGGAAGAAAATGAGCCTTCTCAAACGCCTGAATTAGCAAAAGAATGGCAATCACCTAGAGGACTCTCAATGGACAATATCATAGGTGACATCTCAAAAGGGGTAAGAACTAGAAATATGACTAATTTTTGTATGTCTGTAGCTTTTGTGTCACAAATTGAACCCAAAAACGTTGAGGAAGCGCTTAAAGATGAACAATGGTGCATAGCCATGCAAGAAGAACTTAACCAATTTGAAAGGAATCAAGTCTGGGAATTAATCCCAAGGGAAGAATCACATCAAGTTATTGGAACCAAATGGGTGTTTAGAAATAAGCTTGATGAAGATGGGAACATAACAAAGAATAAAGCTAGACTTGTTGCCAAAGGCTATTGCCAGGAGGAAGGTATAGACTATGATGAAACTTATGCTCCTGTTGCCAAGTTAGAGGCTATATGCCTACTTCTTGCTTATGCATCTTTGATGAAATTTAAATTATATCAAATGGATGTTAAGAGTGCATTTTTGAATGGTTTTATTAAAGAAGAAGTTTATGTGGAGCAACCCCCTGGATTTGAAGATTTTAGTTATCCTAATCATATTTTTAAATTAAAGAAAGCATTATATGGGTTGAAACAAGCTCCTAGATCTTGGTATGAAAGGCTAAGTAGTTTCCTTACTTCAAATGATTTTTCTAGAGGAAAAATTGATTCTACACTGTTTATAAAGAAAGTTAAAGAACATATCTTATTGGTCCAAGTATATGTTGATGATATTATTTTTGGATCAACTGATAATTCGTTATGTGTAGAATTTGCTAAGATAATGCAGGGAGAGTTTGAAATGTCTATGATGGGAGAATTTACGTTCTTCCTTGGACTACAAATCAAGCAACTTAAAGATGGCATTTTCATCTCTCAAACCAAATACTGCAAAGAGATCCTTAAAAAGTTTGGAATGGACACCTCTAAGGAAGCTAACACACCCATGGGAACTTCATGCTATCTAGACAAGGATGAATCAGGTTTGGAAGTTAATCAATCTATGTATAGAGGTATGATAGGTTCACTGTTATACTTAACTGCAAGTAGACCTGATATTATGCATTCTTTATGTGTGTGTGCTAGATTTCAGGCTTGTCCAAGAGAATCTCATCTAATTGCAGTAAAACATATTCTAAAATATTTAAAAGGAACTAGTGGTTTTGCTTTATGGTATCCATCTGATGCGTGCACTAGTCTAATAGGATATTCTGATGCTGATTATGGTGGATGCAAAATTGATAGGAAAAGTACTGGTGGGACATGTCATTTGTTAGGTTCATCCTTAGTATCTTGGCATTCTAATAAACAAGCTTGTGTTGCTTTATCTACCACTGAAGCTGAATATATTGCAGCTGGTAGTTGTTGTGCTCAAATTCTGTGGATGAAACAACAGTTAGAAGATTATAGTATATTTCTGAATGACATACCTTTAATGTGTGATAATACGAGTGCAATTAATCTTACTAAGAATCCAATAATGCACTCTAGGACTAAGCACATAGAAATTAGGCATCACTTTTTGAGAGATCATATCAGCAAAGGGAACTGTAAAATAGAATACGTTGATACAAAGCATCAATTAGCAGATATCTTTACTAAGCCTCTACCCAAGGATAGATTTTATGATCTTAGAAGAGACTTAGGGATATTAGAAATAGCTTAAATTTTGCTTAATAAGACAGTTTTTGGATGTTTATGATGTTATAATTCATTGTGTAGGATGTTCATAGTTAATCATGTGTAAAAACCTCAAAAATTTGATGTACTCTCTGGAATAATCGATTAATTGGAGTTATAATCGATTATTTGCATCCAAAACACTCAAAACAGGGCATTCCTCTCTGGATTAATCAATTAATTCGATAATTAATCGATTAAATACAGAATTAATCGATTATCTGCTAAATTTAATCGATTAAATGACTCTGGCACTGGTTTAATCGATTAATCTGAGTTTTAATCGATTAAACCTAGCAAGTTTGGCCTCCTAGCCGTTGCCAACGGATCTCTTGACCTATATTCACTTCCATATGACCGTTAGACATGCTTGATTATAAATAGGGGCCTCCATTTCACTTCTACTCACTACTATCTCTTGAAATCAAGCTTTCTTGCCTTATTCTAGCAATCTTGCACTCTTATCAATACATTTAGCTCTCTAAATCTTATTGTTATTCCTCAAATCTTTCAATGGCCTCATCTTCTCGTGCTAACATCCCTACTAGAAGAAGATCTGCACCCTCATCTCGTCCCCGTCCTAATTCTGTAGAAGGATGGATTTCTGATACAGATGGCCAACAAGAATTTCTGACCTATAGTAAGGAACGTGCTATTATCTCTCCAAAGTTTCTTATTGGTGAGCAATTCATCAATAGGGGATTCAACTTTCCCAACCTTCTTGAATTTCAAGGAGTTCTCCCTTTCATCCAAATGCAAGGTACGTATTATCTTGACCTTGTTAGGGTATTTTACTCTAGATTTAAATTTAGAGATCAAATTGCTACTTCTAGAGTCAAAGGCGTCACAATTATTCTTGACGACGATATTTGGGAGAATGTTGCCCACTTTCCAATTAGAGAAGATGCTATTAACATTTATGGTGAGTTAGATGATTTTGACAGGTTCTTAGCTTACCGTTCTTTTCTGCGAAATCCCTCCATGGAGATTGGGCGTCTCCTTCTTGCTCGACCTTTAAAGAAGGAGGAATGCATGATTCTACATCTACTTGTTTGGATTCTCTGTCCCCGAGCTACGAATCATGCTCAATGTTCTTCAATTGATCTTAGGATTATTCATGCCGTAATGAATAATGAGCCCTTAGATTGGGGCGTTCTTGTCACCATGACAATGTTAAAAGCAAAACGCCATCCCACCTTCAAAATTCTATATGCCCTCCTTGTCTCTCGGATTCTTGAATATAAGGGAGTCAATGTCGAAGGTGAACAAACAGTAAGAACAAATAACTTGAATCGCATGCTTGAAAGCACATTGATCCATCTAAAAATGGTGCGTGTCAACGACATTTATGTTCACAAGGATGACGTTCCGAATCAAGGTGAAGATAATGAAGATTATGATGAAGATATGCCTGCTGCTGCTGAGTTTCCCTCTGATCAAATCCAAAGTGTTGGAACTTCCTCTACTCATCATGAAACCCGACAATCCATGGAAGACATGTTATCTGACATGAATCAGAGGATGCAGCCATTCTTCACTCTTTCTGGAGTACGGCATGAGGAAATAATTCGTCGTATATCTGATGTAGATGATAAAGTGTGTCGTTTAGAAAATAGATTTGATGCACACTTTCATAGTGATGATAGTGAAGAATTTTAAAATTTGTAATTTTTCTCTTATATTGTAATGAATGCTTTTATCTGAAATAAAATGTGGTGTTCTGTTTTTGATATCATTGAGGGGGAGTTTTCTCTAAGTTATGCATATTTTGAGGGGGAGCTCTTATGTTTGTCATAGATGAATTATTTTTTATTCTAATCAAAATAGGGGGAGAAAATATTTAAAGCCTAATATGATTGTTTTTAAATATTATCTGGTATGTTTAATGTGTTTGTTAGTATGACAGATAAAACAGGTTATTACAAGGCTTTAAAAAGATAATTTTGATCATCATCAAAAAGGGGGAGATTGTTGAACATTCAAGGACTTGATGTTGCACTTGATGGACATGAAGATTGTTGATTTTGATGATGATTCAAGAACTCAAAGACTTAGAGTGTTGAAGACTTGTTTTGTATTGTAATAACTCTGTTTCAATTAGATTGAGTCTGTAATATTAGAGTTTAAGATAGTCGGTACATAGTCTGCACCTTAGAAGCTTCAAAAAGCTCAAATTTATCATCCAAGCTCAGCTTTAATCGATTAAATAGGGAAATAATCGATTAAAATAGTGAGAAAAACCATTTTCTGTATCTGCTCACTGGTTTAATCGATTAAACCACCTGTTAATCGATTAACAGGCGGTTTAATCGATTAACAGCCCTTTTAATCGATTAAAACAGTGAGTTTCAGGGTTCTGGTAATTTTGGCTCTGTAATAATCGATTAACTCTTGATTTAATCGATTATTTCAATCAGATTTCGAATTTTAACTTCAAATCAACCCTATTTTTCGAAAACCCTTTTCCCAAGAACCCTAATTCCGAAATTCCCAATTCCCAAACCCTAATTTCTCTACTTAAGCTTCTCTATGGCACTCAGAAAAGTAGAACAACCTTTTTCATACAAAAATTAAGTGTTGTAGTGCCAGAGAACTGTTTGTTGCAAGAAAAAAGGGGCTTTCGGAACCTGGTGTGGGCTAGAAGCGATAAGAATCACTAAGTGGAGTTCTTAGTGGATTGTGTGATGTGTCGTCTCTAGGGAAAATTGTTCTTCATCTCTTGTGGATTTCAAGAGAGGTGTTTTCTTATCTTTATCTTTTCAATTGTAATCTGTTTGTAACAACTTGATTATAGTGACAGCATTAATCCTCTGTTTGAGTGATTAGCAACTGGACGTAGGGTCTTTTGATCCGAACCAGTATAAATTTCCTGTGTAAGATTCTCTTCTCTTCTCTATTTACATTTACACAGTTTTTAATCGGTAAAATTTGGGGAAAATTTTGAAAACCTAATTTTTATTAAGAAACCAATTCACCCCCCCCCCCATCTTGGTTTTTGTCCGACCACGCGAACATTCCGCTGCGCGATTCTAACATGTATATCTGAAATTAGAATCTATTAATTTTCCATGGGATTCTAAGTTATTGTTTTGTTTTGTGTCTCGAGTCTTTCAGCTGTCATATCAAATAGTTGATGGTTTAATCTGGCTTGGAAAACGAGACTTGATAAATGAGTTTAGGAAGAAAAGGCTGAAGCTAAAGCCCGTTACTTATCTAAGTGGATCTTACACTCACCCTTTTGATGTGCCCCATGGTTATATATGGAGCCCTCACTTAGTCCCTAAACCAAAAGGTTAGATACGTATTTATAATGTGTTCTCATATTATAGTCCTCACTTTTCCATTACTGATATACCAATGTAGCTGTATGCAATTGTTATTACATAGGGGTGAGGTATACTGCCACATAATCATTACTTTTTGGAAGATGTCATGATAATCTAATTGTCTTTACTGATCTGCAGACTGGGGACCTAAGATTGATTTCGTTGGATTTTGTTTCCTTGACCTTGCTTCAGATTATGAACCACCAAAATCGCTAGTAGATTGGCTTGAAGAGGGCGAAAAACCTATTTATGTTGGATTTCGTAGCCTTGTGAGTTCTATGTTCATGTGTTTAGGTCATCTCGATAACCCTCTCGATGAATCTGCAGATTTCACTATAAAAATAACTTTTACAAGTAACATTTGCTAGTAATAGATGTATATGTATCGGACTCGGTGGCTTGTTCCATACTAAGGTTTTCAATCAAATGTGCCTTACGTTTTGATCTCTAATTTTGTTTCCAAAGTTGTCTATCGAAGGAAGTTCGGAGATAAATTTTCCGAGTTGTCCCCGGAAGTGCCCATAATTTTATGTTAGTTTTCCAAACTAGCTCAACTAAATAAGAAACACCCGCCTTGAATGAAATTTCGTACAATTATAATATATGATTGTATACGTTGTGAAACAAAAAAGAAAGACTCTTCCATTTCATGTATTTACTGGCCAAAGATTAAAATGCGGATAAACAACCTCTATATATTGGGCTATAATTCTGTATTTGATTGTATTAATAATCAAAATAGATGTATGCAATCACTAAAACCATTCAACCTCCATTCTAATGTAATTTTTATTGGTGTTTTAATAGCCTTTAGAAGAACCAGAGAAAATGACGAAAATTATAATACAAGCTCTGGAAAAAACAGGACAGAGAGGTGTCATCAACAAAGGGTAGTAGTGTATGATCGGGTAAAACAGCATATTCATTTGTTTTAGGGTACTTTTTTCCATTATTTAAAAGCATTTTGCACTCTGTATTAGGAATTGCCATTACTCTTCTTCGAATGGCAGATGAGAAGCAAAACCGTACAATGCTAAATCAGAATAAGGTACAAACATAAAGCAAAAACAAACCCAGAATACGGATCATGACCTCGAGTTCAACCTCCACAGGGGAGCTAGTTCATGCCCTCACCTTCGACAAGGGGATTGGCTGCTGCTTCGATCCATGGTGAGTGGATGGGTAGGGAGGCGATTTGCGGTTAGTGGTGGAGATGACCCAAGCTAGGGATTTCCTGACGGAGATGGGGGTGTTAGAGTGATTTTCGATGAGGGTGGGGCGAGAGTAAGTGAGGTTGGTGAAGGAGAAGAATTGAAGGAGATGATGAGAGGTGGGAGGTGACGCCGCGAGTCACTAGTAGTGGAGGTGGAGGTGATAGGCATCGCAGAAGGGCTATGACTGATGGTGAGTGGTTGTGACCGTCATAAGGTGGTGTGGCACCTGAATTTGGAGGCTGTCGGGAGGGAATCAGGGGAATAAAGTGAGAAACTGGCGAGATCTCGTTTAGGTTACAAGATAACAATATTCGGAGCAGATAAATAGGTCTTAATTTACCGATGGATCTATCCGTCGGTAAAACCACATTTCAAAAATTCATCGGTAATCACTTCCTCCTAATTTACCGATGGATATATCCATCGATAATTAATAGTTCATTTACCGACGGATATATCCGTCGGTAAAACCAAATTTCACAACTATCTTAAATCCGTCGGTAATTTTCGTCAGTAATTACTCATTTTCCGACGGCTCTACATCCGTCGGTAAATATTCGTCAATAAATCAGAAATTTCTTGTAGTGGAAGTTTCTTAGGACATGCTGGATTCTATAGAAGATTTATAAAAGACTTTTCAAAGATTGCAAAGCCACTCAGTAACATGCTCAATAAGGATATTTCTTTTAATTTTGATGGGGAATGTTTGCATGCTTTTAAATTGTTAAAACAAAAATTAATTTCAGCCCCTGTGATAATTGCATCTGATTGGAATTTAGATTTTGAATTAATGTGTGATGCAAGTGATTATGCTATAGGAGCAGTATTAGGCCAAAGAAAATCTAATATTTTTCATGTTATACATTATGCTAGCAAAGTTCTCAATGCAGCCCAAATTAATTATGCAACTACTGAAAAATAATTACTAGCTATAGTTTATGCATTGGAAAAATTTAGAGCATACTTGATTGGTTCATCTGTTACTATATATACTGATAATGCAGTAATCAAATATTTGTTAACCAAATTATATTCTAAACCCAGGCTAATTAGATGGATTTTATTATTACACGAAAATTTGGTTGTTGATCATTTGTGCAGATTAGTCAATATTGAAGTGACTAATAACCAATTAGAAGTGCAGGAGGATTTTCCAGATGAAAAACTGATGATGGTACAAGAAAGACCTTGGTTTGCTGACATGCAAAATTTCAAAGCTGCAAAAGTTGTCCCATAACTCATACTTGGCACCAAAAGAAGAAATTATTTAAGGATGCCCATTATTTTGTATGGGATGATCCTTACCTTTTCAAGATAGGAAGCGATAACTTGCTGAGAAGATGTGTGACAAACAAAGAAGCCAACAGCATTCTCTGGCATTGCCACAATTCTCCTTATAGTGGACATTTTAATGGAGTAAGGACTGCTGCAAAAGTTCTCCAATCTGGTTTTTTCTGGCCTACTTTGTTTAAAGATACGCACAACTTTGCACAACAATGTAGTGATTGCCAGAAGACAGGAGGAATATCAAGAAGACAGGAAATGGCCCTGAATATCATGTTGGAAGTAGAAATATTTGACTGCTGGGGAATTGATTTTGCAGGACCTTTTCCATCCTCATTTTCTAAAGACTGTTTCATCTTCAAGAAAAGATTGGTCAATAAAGTTAGATGATGCGCTTTGGGCTTCTAGGACTGCATATAAAGTTCTTACTGGGTTATCTCCCTTTCAACTTGTCTATGGTAAGTCATGTCATCTTCTAGTGGAAATGGAACATAAAGTGTATTGGGCTTTAAAATTTTTAAATTTTGATCCAAAAGCTTCAGCAGAGCAAAGAAAAATTCAGATGCATGAATTAGAAAAAATGAGACTTAATGCATATGAATCATCCAAGTTATACAAGGAGAAAGTTAAGGCATATCACGATAGGAAAATTCTGACAAGAGATTTTTCATCCAGGCCAGTCTGTATTACTATTTAATACAAGATTAAGACTTTTTATTGGGAAACTAAAATCCAAATGGTAAGGTCCATTCGTGGTAAGATCCGTTAGGCCTTATGGTGTTGTGGAATTGGAAGATCTAGCAATAGGAAGAATATGGACAGTTAATGGGCAGAGAATTAAAGCATATTTGGGAGATGTAGTGGATAAGATTCACCTCATTATCTACTTAGATGAACCTTAAAGCAAACAGACGTCGAGCTGAAGACGTTAAACAAGCGCTCCTGGGAGGCAACCCAATGTTTTATCTTTCTTTTCTTTTTGGCAATTTAAATTTTTTTTGTTTTATCTTATTGCATTATAAATTGAGCATGAACAAATTTGAACTAGATCTATGTGAAAATATTTTGAGTTTTTAATCATTGGATTGCATTTGAATATCATGTTAACAATCAAAATTCACTGAAATTCGCTCAAGTGACAGAGGATTCGCTTGAGCGAATGTTAGTTGTTTCTCTCTATTTTTCTTCGCTCAAACGAAATTTTTTTTTACACACATTCGCTCAAGCGACATAGGATTCGCTCAAGCGAATGTACGTTATTTCTCTCTGTTTTGGGTCGCACAAGCGAATAATAGGTACACTGGTTTTCGCTTGAATGAAAGTGTCCAGATCTGGTTTTTAAAAATCGCGAAGGGGGTTAGTTTTCAGAAAACTTAAAACCCTATTTTGCACCCACTCTCCCCCAATTGATTTCTTCTCTAATTCAAGCCAAAATCCATCAAATTTTCTCTTCCCAACCATCATTCCAACTACTTTGGGTAATTTGGTCTAGATTTCACCGGTGTTTCTTTGCTTAAAAGTCATGAAATTTGTGTTTGTGGTTGAATTGATTGGATAGATTGCATTGTTATAGGTTAGAAATTCATATGCATGCCAAGTGTTCGATAAAATGCTTCAAAGTAATTTATTTGGTTTGTAGGTGATATAAAGTGTGTAATTGTTCATGATTTGCTTAATTGTGTAAGTGGGAAAGGATTCATGCTAGAAATTAGGGCCATAGAAGTTCGAAAATAAGGTGCATGCCAACTGTTTGATGAAATGTTCAAATATGAATTATAGTGTGTTATTACAATTGAACCTATGAATATTCTACCATGCAATAGTAAGACTTAAAGTAGCATTGTATTCATGATGGGATCAAAATATTCGACTAACTGTGAGTATCATGATATTTCAGATGGGTCCAAGAAAAGAATCACACGGTGCATCATCATCTAGAGCAGCTGAGAAGAGACCCAGAGTTAAGTTTGCAGGCATCCAAGTGGATAAACGTAGATTTAGAGATGTTGAGAGACATGCGAGATTTGAGAGAATCTGCAACTGAACCTTTATCCAGGAAAGAAGAGTGGAACTAAATGAAGGCGAGTACCCAAAATTCAACAATGAATTAACCTGCAGGAACTAGAGTCAATTGGAACTCCCAATGCCAAAGTATGATCTTGAGATCGTAAAAGAGTTTTACGCCAACTCCTGCCTAGTTGAAGGAGAGTCATTCTGGGCACGTTCCAAAGTGAGAGGTTGGTGGGTTCCATATGATAGAAATGTAATTAATGATTTGCTAGGAAATCCGCTTTTTCTGGGGGGAAGGCCATATATTTGATTTCCAAGTCATCCGAAATAGCAGATGTCTAACTGAAATGCACTTTAGGGATGATGACGTAGCAAGAGCCCTGTGCTTACCTGGGAGACCTTTGAGGCAAACTATGCTGGGAAGGCCTTAAGAATATTAAGGGCCAACATGATCACCTTAACTCAGATTTGGACTTTATTCCTGCTGGCCAACATAGTCCCCATCAAGCACAGTTCAGATCTGAATATGCCCAGGTGTTATATTATCAAGAGCATTCTAGATGAAACTATGATTGACATCGCCACAATTATATCGGAGGAGATCTATCAGTTTGTGGTATTGGAAAGTGGGCGACGAGCAGAGCAAGCTAAGGCTCTTGGATTTCCTATTCTCATAACAGTTCTTTGTGCAGCCCATGGTGTGGAAGTAAACCCATCAGTGAACATCCGGCCGCCCATTAATAGAAGATTTATTGAGCAGAACTGTGTGAACCCTGCAGAAGGGGAGCCACAACCACTGGCACAGGAACCACACCAGCCAAGAAGGGTCTGGCAGCCACCTCCACCACCTCAGCAATCAG